AAAAAATACAAGGAGGTAATACTCATGCCCAGGAATAGCTAAAATCAAATACAAGAAACAAAAAGGTAGCTTCTCAAGGATTTGCGGGAGGAAAGAACTCTTGTGCACTGTTGGTGGGAATGCAAATTGTGCAGCCACTCTGGAAAAGGTATAGAGGGTTCTCAAAAAGTTAAAAATAGAATTTCCTTATGATCCAGCATGCACTACTGGGTATTTACCCAAAGAATACAAAATTAACTAAAGGGACACATACACCTCTGTGCTTAAAGCAGCATTATTTACACTAGCCAAGATATGGAAGCAGTCAAGTGTCCATCGATTGATGAATGGATAAAGAAGATGTGGTATGTATATACAGAGTACTATTCAGCCAAAAAAGAATGAAATCTTGCCATTTGCAATGACATGAATGGAACTAGAGAGTGTAATCTGCTAGCACAAATGCACGAAAGACAACTACCATATGATTTCAGCATATGGGGGAACTTAAGAAATAAAACAAACAAGCAAAGGGAAAAAAAGAGAGAAGAAACAGATCTCCCTAATATTGAGAATAATCTGTGGGAAGCGGATGCAGGATGGGATAAAATAGTGATGGGGATTAGAGTGCACTGTGGTGATGAGCACCAGGTGTTGGCAAGTGCTGAATCACTATATTGTACACCTGAAACTAATATGACGACTGTATGTTAGCTCACTGGAATTAAAAGTTACATAAAAAAAAATGAATGCACAATATGAACATTGTTTTTAAATATAAAGTACAAAAAATAAACATAGAGTGTTCAAATGAAGAATTAAAATTAAAAAAATGAGAAAGAAGTATGTGGGGGACATACTTCTTTCTCATTTTTTTTAATTTTAATTCCTTTCCATTTGAACACTGCTATGTTTATTTTGTACTTTATATATTTAAAAACAATGTTCATATTGCATTCATTTTTTTATGTAACTTTTAATTCCAGTGAGCTAACATACAGTGTCATATTAGTTTCAGGTGTACAATATAGTGATTCAGCACTTCTCTACAACACCTGGTGCTCATCACCACGAGTGCACTCCCTAATCCCCATCACCTATTTTACCCATCCTGCACCGTCTTCCCACAGATTATTCTCAATAATTAGGAGATCTGTTTCTTACTCTCTTTCATTTTTTTCCCCTTTGCTTGTTTGTTTTATTTCTTAAGTTCCCCATATGCGTGAAATCATATGGTATTTGTCTTTCTCGGACTTATTTTGCTTAGCATTACACTCTCTAGTTCCATTCATGTCATTGCAAATGGCAAGATTTCATTCTTTTTTTATGGCTGAATAGTACTCCGTTGTATATACATACCACATCTTCTTTATCCATTCATCAATCGATGGACACTTGGACTGCTTCCATATCTTGGCTAGTGTAAATAATGCTGCTTTAAGCACAGAGGTGTATGTGTCCCTTTGAATTAGTGTTTTTGTATTCTTTGGGTAAATACCCAGTAGTGCAATTGCTGGATCATAAGGAAATTCTATTTTTAACTTTTTGAGAACCCTCTATACCGTTTTCCAGAGTGGCTGCACCAATTTGCATTCCCACCAACAGTGCACAAGAGTTCCTTTTCCTCCGCATCCTTGAAAACACCTTTTGTTTCTTGTGTTGTTGATTTTAGCTATTCCTACAGGCATGAAGTGATACCTCATTGTATTTTGATTTTCATTTCCCTGATGATAAGTGATGCTGAGCATGTTTTCATGTGTCTGTTGGCTATCTGGGTATCTTCTTTGGGGAAATGTCTGTTCGTGTCTTCAGGCCATTTTTATTTTATTTTTTTAATGTTTATTTTTGAGGGAGAGAGAGAGAGAGAGAACTTGAGCAGGTGAAGAGCAGAGAAAGAGGGAGACAGAGAATCCCAAGCAGGCTCTACACTGTGAGTGCAAAGCTATATATAAATTATTGCATTCATTTATATTTATTAATTCTTTCCGTGTTGAAATTTCTAGATTTCATTGTCAAAAGAATAATTTTTATTAAATATAATGAACATGCAACTTCAGGGCATACTTCACGAGCCTTGGTCACATAGTCTGAATTACCAGATTTAAGCTTTATCTCTTTCGAATTTTGGATTAGAACTATACTATTAAAAAAACTATATACTTTTTTCTTGTTATTAAACGTGAAGTTATTCATTATTATTCTATATACTGATATATACTGATATTCTACATACTGATATACTGATTATTCTATATACTGATACTGATATACAATGGCCATTAATGTACAATATAATGTCTAATGTACACTTTTATCATGAAATCTTTCATTCTTAATTTAACCTCTTTTTAGTACAGTACACATATCCTTAGCTGTGCTTCCTGATTCCAACTGAGATGTTGTCTTACCTACTACAGATAATACCTAGAGGACTTCCATTGGAAAGGGCCATGAGCTATAAGAGAGGGTTGGGGCACCTGGGTGGCGCAGTCGGTTAAGCATCCGACTTCAGCCAGGTCACGATCTCGCGCTCCGTGAGTTCGAGCCCCGCGTCAGGCTCTGGGCTGATGGCTCAGAGCCTGGAGCCTGTTTCCGATTCTGTGTCTCCCTCTCTCTCTGCCCCTCCCCCGTTCATGCTCTGTCTCTCTCTATCCCAAAAATAAATAAAACGTTGAAAAAAAAAAAATTTAAAAAAAAAAAAAAAAAGAGAGGGGACAGCTGTGGGGATTAAATATTTCTCAAACGGCTTCTATTTGCTCCACCTGATAGTCATGCCACCTTTATCCCTTAGTCCAGAAATGCCAGCGCTGATCATTTCCACACGTTGGCAAGATTCTGGAGGGTGTATTGGGTTGGTTTTCAGTTTTCTCCACTGCTGCTTTGGATATCAACTTTCTTGAGTTTTCGAAGTCAGTTACCATTTATTTGTTCTATAGCTTCCAATCTTCTAAGTTAATATCCTTCCTAGACCAAAATATTTTAAAATAACATCTAAAAAAAAATTCATCTACTTTGGGTACATTCATTTCCTTGATCTCTATGTTTTTTATTTATTTTATCTGAATGCCTCTGGTAATGAATTTGTTTTGGTACAGGGACTCCAGTTGCAATCTCAAATGCCTAAGGGGCCAGGCTGGTGTTCTGGCTTCTCTGACTAGATCGAAACCTCAGACAGGTCAGGGTCAGAAATAATTGGTTAAGTTTGGGGGAATCCCAGAGCAATACAACATGTGCCCTGTTTTCCATTGGGACAATAGGAGATTACCTGCCCCAGGCTCATTGGCAGTGGCTGTAATAGGGTAGAGATGACTTTGTGACCAAGCAGTGAGACAGAGGGCGTAAGACAGTCCCTACCTCCCCACCTCCACACCCTACCAGTTAGCCTTGGTTTGTATGCAGAGGGGACAGTTTCAGAAGCTTCCCATGTATCCCCAATGAGGAGCATAGGAAGTAGGTAAGACATGTAAGTTAAGGACATTGCCAAGTGGCCACCATAGTGGGAGGCAAGTTGACAAAACAGGGGCCAGATGGAATTCAGGTCTGAGATGGATCCATGACTCCAGAGAAGGCTGAGCTGAGATTTCTGGAGATGATGCTGGGGGTAGGTTTGTTGCCTGCTGCCAACCATGTGGAGAACACAAACCACAAGTGAAACCATGGATTTTAGCAGTGGGTACAATAGGGCCCCAGAAGGCCAGCAGCCCCTCCCTTCCTCTCGAGGGTCCTGAAACTGTCTCATCTGGGAGATGCCATCTTGGGAAGGAGGAAGCAGCAATGGTGAAATTTAGGGCATGAAGAGACAGCCTTGAGGGAGGTCTGAGCCTTGAATTTGACTGAATAGTTTATCTGAGAGAAGCATTTAAAATGAAAGAGACCATTTCAAAGCATAAGCAACTGTTTTAATGGAAAGGGAATGAATTATCTTTAATTAGCAAATTTAAATGTTCCTCCTATCAGCAGAAATTGTGGGCTCATAAGAAAGAGTGAAGGACTTTTAAAAACTAAACAAACCACATTTTTCTTAAAATACCTGAGTTGTTAGTGTATGTGTCAAGATATGATCGGACTTCTTGTTGGAATGTTGATTTTATCTGAATTCACTGCGTGCCACTTCATTAGGTATTTTAAAAATATTTTATGTATTTATTATGTATGTTGCATCTGGTGGTATAATTGAATATGAAACGAGAAATCTAGGGAATTTCTTTCTGACATGCACTATAATTTAAAACAGTAACAGACAACTGCAAATTGTGTTAGAATACAAGATTGTCATTTGGTATTTACTACAATTGCAAAAACAGCTTGTTAAGGAAAAATAATTAGACTTCCCCAAGTATCTTGATGTCATAATACATATGTAAATTGTGGAGTAGGACATACAAAAAAAATTATTGCTTTAAGTGTCAGTTACTGCTAGCCCCAGAGAGAAAAAGAGCTGCAAAACGTAGCTACTGTATGTTTACACATACGTTTATAGCAGGCATTTGTCTCCCACTCCTTTTCTTCAGTAACAATAAGATAAACGTCTAAAAGCCTTGGTTTTAGATTTGGAGTCGACAGTTGGCTATACTTCTGCCCAAAGCCATTGATGTCTTCCTGCGTTAAGTGCGCGTGAGGGCTTGCGTGCTCTGGTCTGCGTAAGACTCAATTAAGCTTTGGGATAAAGAGTAACTGTGTCGTAGCCCTCTGGGGGCCGCATGCGAGCTCTTGCATGCGTTTCGCAGTACAGCTCGCCCTCCACGAAGAAGTAGCCCTTCTGTTTGAGGTTGAGGTTGCAGTCGGCACACACAAAGCACTCCGGATGTCGGTACTTATCCCGCGCCTTCACAACAGCACCGCTGTAGAGAAAAGGGAGATCAACTCAAACAAACAAACAAAACCCACAAAGCCGAAAACATGCTACAAAGGGAGATAACACTGCCTTCTGGCAGGTGTTATCTGTTTCACATTCAGGAAACAGCCTCCAGCTGTAAAACCAGCACGGCTGTGAAACTGACAGCCGTGTCATTGTCAGCCAGATCCCTGAGGACCACAGGAACACATCCCGTGTTTCCCGGGTGCCTCGTTTTCAGAGTTTTCAGACAAGTCGTTTCTACAAAAGTTAGGGGATCTTACCTCATGATCTTTGCCGATTGTTTCTTTGAAAGAGGAAAACACGATATGAATGAGACTAACACCCCTGCACAATTCTGATTGTGACCAAGGTTGCCTACAGGGCTACAAGTCCCTCTGACTGCTTTCTGTGTTGGTGGTGCAGCCTGTATTCTATGGAGCACAGAGAAAACAGACCCAAGAGCAGAGATGGGATTGCCATGGGTGGGCGGACTGACCTCTCCTGTCAAAACAGCTTACTTCAGCCTGGGTGAGGTAACTGCTTTTGGTACCATTATAAACGCTTGTGTTTTATGAGATCCTCTCTGCTCCAGAGCTCCGTGTCCCGCTCCTTTCTTTCTGTGTCACATTCCCCACTTGCTCTAAGCAGGCTTGGCTCCCACTGCCCTCCTGGGATGAATCCTGGAAAACTGGACTGATGGTGCCTCAGTGTGAGCTAAGAGTAGAGGAACAGAATAAAGGGGTGGGAGAAGTGGCCTCGTGGGGCATTTGCAGTGCAGAGATTGAAATGACCTGCTTCACTGGAAGATTTGAACTAGCAAGCGTGGCTATTCAAACATAAGGGCCCTTGAAATGGAAGCTGACTGAATTTTTAAAAATTATATTTCAGTATTTGTGTAACTTAAAAAACCCAGTAAAGATAATGTGTTTCAATGAACAACCTGATGACCTTAGTATTCGGTTCCCTGAGTTTATACAGAAAAGAAAATATTTAAGGACTGTATATTAACAAAGGGAAGGCTTTTTGAAGTGAAATTATGATTCTTGGACGTGATTTTTTAAAATATACTTCTAAGACAATTTTTATGGGAAAATATATGAAATTATAAGTCCAGAATGCCGATTCACGTTACATGCCAGTTTTAGGGTGTGTCGAAGGAATTCTGGTCAAATGTGCTGAATGTTGTGGATATATTTCAAGTCACTGACTGGAAATAGAGAACAGATACCAAGATTCATGGTGAATTCCTGGGTTAAAAATGAAACTTACACGATGCCACTCCCACATTTGTCACAGAGTGGCATCTTCTGTGTGCTGCCAGGGCCACCATGGACTTTTGTAACCGGAGCTCTCACACTCCGAGTTCCAGCCGGACGGTCATCTGAAAAACAAAGTGTTTCCATTTATGGCAAGGGAACAGCTGGCTACTGGCTAGTTCCTACTTTGCTTCTATTTTAAGGTGTGCACTTTAACTTAAGGAATTCTTAAGTTGCACGGGTGCTATCATTTCAAAAGGAGTAGGACCGGTTCAAGCATAACTTGTTCTGAAGCATGGCCTTACAAAACAGAATTAATCAACATTTGTCGTTGTCATAGGGAGCTGTTATAAAATGCTCAAAAAGGCAGAATACCTTTTGCATTTCTTCCTGCTTCTTATTGGGGTAGAATATACATAACATAATACTGACCATCTTAACCATTTTAAGATGGGTAATTCGGGAGCAGTAAGTCTATTCACAGGGTTGTGCAACCATCACCAATGATTATTTCCAGGACTCTTTCATCATCCAAACAAAAACCCGGTATCCATTAAACAGTAACGGCCCATTCTCTCTTCTTCCCAGATCCTGGTAATCTCTATTCTACTTTCTGTCTTAAGACTTGCCTATTCTAGGTACCTCTTATGAGGTACTCTTATGAAGGGTACAATATTTACCCTTCTGTGTCCGGCCTGTTTGACTGAGCATGTTTGCAAGGTTCATCCATGTTGCAGCATGTATCAGAATTTCATTTTTTGAGGCTGCATGATATTCTGTGTGGATAGACCATATTTTGTTTATCCATTGATCAATTGGTAGACAAATGCGTTGTTTTCACTCTCTGGCTATTGTGAATAATGCTGCTATGAACATTGGTGTATAAGTATCTGTTTGAATCTCTGCTTTCAAGTTTTTGGGTATGGACCCAGAAATGTAATTGTTGGATTATATGCTCATTCTATGTTTAACTTTTTGAGGAACCCGTATACTGTTTTTCACAATGGCTGCACCATTTTGCATTCCCGCCAACAACGAACAAGGGTTCCAGTTTTTCCACATGCCCATCAACACTTGTTTCTTCCTTTAAAAAAAATATTAGCTATCTTAGTGGGGCATTTTGCATACTGTGCAGGTTTTTAAAGGACAGTGTATCTTTTGTTGATGGAAAAACACCGGTAAGAGTGTGAGCCCCGAGGACAGCAGGGGTGGCTAGAGGTTCAGTCCTGCTTCTTACTGGCTGCGTCTCTTTGTACAAATCCGCTGTCTCTATGCCTCAGTTTCTCATTTGTTAGAGAAAATAATAGTTCCTATCTCACAGGTTATTGTGAGGATTAAATGATAAAGTATGCAAAGTACTTAGCACAGGGTTTGGAACACAGTAAGGGTTCATTGCAGTGTTATTTTAAAATTTGGATGATGATGATGATACCGTGGAGTATGGGGGGAGACGGAGAAATCTTGCAATATCCATTGAAGGTTGGACTTTACGATTCTGAAGCTGAACTAGCCCCTGGATTACTGTGGAGGGAATTTGTCGTGGTGCTCTTTTATCACCAAGTTGGTGGCTATTTGGATACATTCTGGAAGCTCCTTTCCTAAACCAAGCACCGCCCAAATCCTTTGGAGGAAAGATCACTGAATTGAATACATTTTTAGACTTTCATTCCCAGTATGTTTACTGCCCTCCCATCCCTTGACTTTTCTAAGGGCCTCCATCAATGCTGTCCCAGCAAGACATTCGCGGCTGCTCACCAGGGCCGTCATTCACTAATTCCTGGAGCACTCTGAAGGAGCCCGACTGGCGAGGCTGAGTAGGTTCATTCCGATTGTCATGGAGCATCCGGTACACATCTGACTCGGGGGGCACAGAGGCTACGGGTTCACTGAAACACAGAGTGGCAGGGAAAGCAGTGTCAGGAGCATCATGACACATGGGATGTGCAAGAAGCTACAAGGCATGAATAAGCAATGATCACTATATTTGCAGTAACTCCTGAACAAAAGCCTCTGTATTTTCAAGTTAGTCTCTATTACAGTTAAAAAATATGGTATGAATTCACATGGGTCACCTTGAAGATGTCATTAAATTACATCACCGCACTTCTCCATCTGACAGAATACTTTGGAGGGCAACTAAAATGTGATTGTCAGGGAATAGCAATTAAAAAAATAACACTCGTGTCTGATGGATATATAATTATGATGTGAACAAAATTAACTTTTCTCATAAAAAAGACAACAAAACATGTGGTAGGAAGTGCAGGAGTGACCCCAGTTTGATTATTCTTGGTCATAAAATGCTCAGTAAAATTCATATTCACTTCTGATATTAAACTGAAAGGTATGGCTTCATTTTGTTTTTAAGGTTAATTTGTTAACTTCTAAAAACAGCAAAGGTATCATTTTGCTTATAAATTGAAGATGTTCAACTCGTATGTGAAAGTACATAATGTAGAAACTTTCAGTTATATTGACTATGTTTTTTAATAGCCACATTATAATTCACTTCTAACAATGATAGCAGCTTTATTTTTAATATTCTACAAATACAATTCAAATCTAAGAAAATGCCTCAATAATAATACTACATGCCAGGCACTAAATGCTTTATTATTTTATGTCATTTAACTGCATTATCTAGAAAAGTAGTTGCCATCTGCACATACTTTTCTATCTATATCCTATTTGAAAATCATCTTATATATCTGAAAGTCCTTGCAAAAAAGCTTTGAGATACATTACATGATTATTCTCTCATTGCATTCATCCCAAGAGATATTTTTGGGAATTGATACATAGTACTCTTAAACATTATAAAACTTTAATTTATAAAAAGTGGTTATGTAATACTGAAAGAAGTAATAAGACTTTATCTTATAATAAATCTTTTTAATTGAAAAGCTTGATGGCAAAAGTGCTTTGAACAAATATTCATAATAAAGAAGAAAGTCGTCAAAATAAGAGACCAATGGAAATTAAATATTTACAGTATTAGCTTGAGCTTATAAAACTTTATTCATGGCAAAAATTCCAAATGAAAAAATAATTACCTCTCCATAAGATACCATTAACAGAGAGAAGAGGTGTCATTTCTTAAAATTCCTCTGAACTTCCCATCCCTTTCCCAAATTTTGACCTCCAAAGGAGAAGCGTAGAGTATACCAGATTATAAATCACTTTTGAAAAGTGTTTACTAGACATTTGTAAAGAACATTGTAGCTTTCCAAGAGATACATACATTTGGTCCTTCCATGATTTCATTTTATTGCGATCTGTTCCATTAAGCTCTACTTAGTTCATTCTGGAAGTCACTTTTATCTTTATGTCTAGATATTTGCAATACATCCTTAGCATTTTTCTCTTGAAAGCTTTCCACATAACCTTCTTCCAATTAAGACAACGTTAAAAGACACCGGTAAAGTTGACATTGCCCATGTGTTTAATTAATATGCCCATCATTCAAAAAGACTCGTATTACCTCATTATGGGTGTTTCCCCTAGAGCTGTTGAAACCTGACCCTGAAGTGTTTCCATAATATTGTCATCTGAGTACAACTGCATAGGTGTATTAAACTGAGCATGTACAATCTTCACACCGGGAAGTTCCATTTCCAAAGGAATGTTAGGGGCCATCTTAGCAGCAACTTTCAAGTCACCTGGGCAAATAGTACTAAGAGTACTGACAGAAGAAGGGGTGCTACGTCCACTGCCACCGTCAATACCGGACGGAGTACTGCATCCACTGTGTTAATGACCACGTTACACAGAGAGGTGACACAGGAATCAGAAAATCCAGACAGGAGAACACAGAGAACAAGTACAGAGAGGTTAAAAGGAATTGAAGACAGAAAGTAAGAAGTGAATTCAATCAAATTCAAATGAAATGTTTATTTCTAGCTAGAGTATATTTTAAAAAGGGGAGACATTTAAAAATTCATGATGGAAAAAAGTTCAAGAAAATTAAAAAGTACAGGTGATATTGCATTTGTTGGCTCTGTTCTACTAGGCAATATGTTAAGCCGAGGGTTACACATAGAGTTGTGTGCATAAAGTAGAAAAGATGGAACTCGCTTTACTTTTTAAAAACAGGCCACACAGTTTTAAACTTGCCAACATCACAAACACATGATGCAGGGAAATTACATTGGCTGGATGTCCTTTTACCTTTATGAGCTGCAATGTTTAAAATGAAAACATTAATAAATGATCCTTCACAAATGGTAACTGGCTTTGCAGCATGAAGGTCAATCAGATATTTAGGCTAAACATTTCAAAATAGGAAGCAGATGTTTCAGAAATGCAGTTACACGTTCCTTGAATAGGTTCTCCGTAGGTTCTGTGATAAAGATTATGTTTGGAAGCTACTTTGTGAACGTTTTCTTGTTACCATGTTAACTTTTTCTACTTTCGTGCTTTAATTTTGTGAAGAGTACACTTTAAAAAATTGTTCAGTGATTTAATACAGGCTCTAGAAACAGCCAATAAATGCTTGTCACCTTGAAATTAATTGATTAGAGGGCAAATAAGGTGGTCTTGGACTCTTTAGATGCCACCTAGGGCATCATATGTAACTATTTCATGTAACATTTTGGAGGTACACATATATTTCCATGCATATTTCTCATTTCCTTTTAAAGATCAATTGAGGGGACTTATTATTAAAACACAAGAAAGGCCATTCATGCAGTTTTAAAAACAGCTAGGGAGATTTCATATTCTCTTTGAATCTGGACAGGAGACTAGTCACAACTGACATGCCAGTGACTTAAAAAGTAATGTTTCTACATGCATTCTAAGTGCAGCATGAGAAATGCATTTTACAAGAAAATGGAATGTACTGAGTTGTTTTTTTTTAAAGCACAATCATTTAAGACTAAACCAAAAAAAATTAGTATTTGTAAGTTTTTTTCATGCTTGCAGGTTAGTGTTGCTATAAACTCAAGGCAGAGAACAATTTATATGATGTGTTTATCTCAAAGTCCGTTTTCTCTTAGGGCTTAGGTATGGCTCTTGCATTTACTCTCTAGGGCTACTAATGCTAACCTTAGCCTCATATAGAGGGCAAAAACCAGAAGGATATTGGGCATCGATTCTGCTGACTACATCAATGTTGTAGCCTGCTTAGTGTGAACAACTCATGTCACTAAATGGATTTTAAAATTTTTTTGTCTGGTGTTATCCAGTTCGACCACCTGCATGACCTAAATGAGGCGAGTATACATGGATGTGCTCCTTTACTTCCTGGCTGTTGAGACCCTATTTAAAGCCCAGTCTGTAAATTGGTAAATCGTCTACAAAATGCCGAGTGGCGTTTTTATCATTTTTGTAGGCTCAACACTCTCTTTGCTCCTGAAATCGACCGTAGTTGGTGAAAGACTCTGTGCCAGCCCTCGAGCTAGACAGGAGATGGGTAAGCTATGAGCAATCAGAATTTACAGATAGACATTATTTTGTAGTTGTAATTAGTAATCTTTGTTATTAGTGTTCTTGTATATAGCATGCTTGTGTACATAATTTTATTTAAGCAAAGATTGTATCTTCTATTGCCTGATTTCTTTATCATTCTATTTAGGAGCCCCTGGTTATTGAATACATAGGAAATATACCCTTAGCAAACAAGAATGACCTTTTTATAAATTTTTGGGACATTTTTAAAAGATCTCTTGAACTGATGCTCTAAGTAAATAGTTTTGATGAGCTCCAGTCACTGTGGGTAGTATCATGGGTCACCATGACCTATCCTGTGACCCAGAAAAGTAGATACTAATGAGATTTCTTGACTTTGACTTAGTGACTTGGCATGTGTAAGCTTGATGATACACTCAATTACTTCATGCCTCCATATCATCAGACAGAGAACTAATTTCCCTGGCCTGTGTACAGACTTTTTGGGATGAACTTCTGGAAGTGAGCTGTCCAAAAACCACTCAGAGGATTCTATTTTATCATTTGGATCTCCAAAATATCTTGTGTATATTTTTAGGTATAAATTTGGCTTTAAAAATTTACATATTTGCCTATGAAAATACTGATTTTTTAATATGCTTCAATTATGAAATAAAAGAACCATAACTAGCAGTCAGGCCCGAGGGAGATGTAACATATTAACAATTTAGCGTCTCCCACTTCGGATTAAAAAGTTGTTCATTTGGCTGTAGCTTGGTATATAGCCACCTAAAACTCCACCTCGATGAAGGATCATTTGGTAAGAACCAGAAATTCAGAAGCTGGAACAAATAGGGGACACAGGAAGAAGGGAAAGATAGTAGAGGCATTTTTACAATTCTTTAAGATTTATATGTGGTACCTGTCTTTAGAGTTTATTTGGGGGGGCAGGGAGAGAATGGACAGGGGAGGGGCAGAGGGAGGGGGACAGAGGATCCGAAGAGGACTCTGTGCTGACAGCAGAGAGCCCGATGTGGGGCTCAAACTCACAAACCGTGAGATCATGACCTGAGGCCAAGTCAGATGCGTAACCCACTGAGCCACCCAGGCGCCCTGGGGACCTGTCTTTAAAGCAAACCCTTTTGTCCCTGTTTCTCCTCTCTCCTCTCCCAAATTCAGCTATATTGAAAGGCACCTTACAATAACAAAATCATGAGTGGCTTGTCACTATCACCATGTTTGAGTTAAAATGAAAATAAAAGAAGGCCATTAGCTACCTGAATCCCTCTGACTTTCCCTGAATTTTGATAAAATTAAATGTGTTACTGGTCTTTAGCCACGGCAAGATCTGTGTTACTCTGATGTGTCATTTCACCCATCGCCTAAAGTCCTAGGGTTTGGATTAGTGAATTTCCAGTTGAACCAACCTCAAAAGAATGCAAGTGCATTAATTTCACTATGCTTCTTTAGAAAGTTGCATATGTATGTATTCAATAGTAACATAGCATCTTAACTCTTTATCTAGTGTTATGATCTTGGGGGAGGGGCTGGGAAGCTGTTGAAGGTGCGGAAATAGGGAGAAGATATACAAGCAAATAGAATGGGGACCAGGGAACAACGAAGTAAAGAAAGGCTTGTGCAGAGTTCCATCTATGAGGTAGGGTGGTAGCTCTTGATTCTACTTGCCACTCAAGTATTATTAGGTGCGCTTAGGACTTCGTTCCTTTATCTAAGAACATTATGGAGCATTAGTCTGTCCCAGCCTTGTGTCCAGGTGCTGGGAAGATAGAAGGCGCTCCCTTCTATTGGGGGAAAATGTATTTGGTAGTCACTGCCTTTTTAGCCTTGTCTCCTGCTCTTCCACTCTACTGCTTCTGAGTCTGATCTCACAAAATCGGCCAGCTTATTTTGAGATAATCCTCTGGCCCTGACTCTAGCTCATGGAAAGGTCTGCACAAGGAGATCACAGATCACATATCAAGCAATGATTGACCATCCAGAGCAGGTATCATAAACTTGGACACCCCCAGGGGCCTGCAGGTTACACTTACATAAAAATAGGCCAGGTATTGGGAATGGTGAGCATTTTGACAGGATGGAGACTAGATGTTCCATCTTAAGGCATTTGCTTAAGGTTTTTGGTTTTGGTTTTGTTTTTTAACAACAGGAGGGTTACATAAAACACCCTCTGTAAGTTGGATGGGCCGCTAGTTTGTGACACTGGATATAGATCATTATTCAATAATCCTAACTGCCAACTTCCTTCCTCTGGGCTGACTAATGTAGCTGAGGTCAGAGGAATGGGTTTGAGGTTTCCTAAAGTCACTCCTTCCCAATGTGCCAACACAGGGCATTCGTTTCCCCCC